TGAAAGATTCTTCAGGGAACCAGACCTGATTAAGTGGGTTCTGGCGCTCTTTAACACAGGCATATAAAAACATACTTGTTAGCCACATTAGCCTCGCAGCCCCAGTGCAGAAGTAAAGACAAGGACACCCAACACGCCTTGGCTGACGGACTACATGTTAGCGGAACAGTTAAACTGGTCCGAGAGGTCACTGATATGGCCTCAATCCATCAGTCCAGCAGACAATGGTCACATTCTTGAAGGACAAGGAGGTATGCGTGCTTTGTGTGGCTGTTTACAATAGAATTAGCCGACAAGATAAATGGACGATGGAAATCGGGGTCAGCGCGGGGAATCCCAGCTTTTGTCTCCTGCTGCAGGACCGACCCTTCAGACTCCGCCCACGAAAGCCCAACAAACCACACGTCCGGCCCAGAAACCAAAGCCGGCCTTGCACAGACCAGTTAGGTTTGAGTTTCACAAGGAAAGAAAATGAGGAAAACGGCAAAAGGCTAGTTAGTTGAACACGGCTTGTTTAACACGACTAGCTTCAAGGCTAACTAGCCAACTAGTTCCTCCTTTAGCCTTTAAATTAAGCATTTTTATACCACTAACGCACAAAAAAGTGACCAGACGTGCAGAACAGCAACCGTGATCGACTGGCTAATCGGAACAAAATCAATGCTTTGGGTGTTTCATCGTTAACTCTGACCTTACAACCACATTAGCATGTCCACTTACAAAACCAATCAAAACTATGGGTTTAAGGCTCATGATTAACCCTGTAAACCACAGGCTAACATGCTAACGTGCTACTCGGACGATACAATTTGTCTGTAAACGTTTCTGACCAACTCAAACGGGATGAGAAATGATGGCGAGGGAAGTGGCTACTCGATTCACGCTCGGCATTTACTCCAGAAATGAGTAGAAAACACTTCAAACCATTTGATTTGGCCATTATAACCATCTGTCATGGTGTCTTCAGTGGGTGTGCAATATGCTACGTCACTACCATTGTTGTTCAGTCGGGAATTCACAGCCAGCAGTCAACATGAAATCAAATTTTACATATTTTAATGTTCGGTGTGGTAAACCTGAGGTAGTTTTTTGTCGGAACAAAATCTCGTATCTCAATTTTTGTCGTTATTCAGTTTCTGACATAATTTGAAAATGCCTGTTGTCCTTTACATTCTGTTGAAATTTCATGATGAATGGACAAAAAGAAATGACGCAAATTTACTCGGAAAAAATGTCCGGTTCCATTGACTTCCATTAGAAGTAAAGCATGTTTTTTCCTTCTCCTGTAAAGTTACCATTTTGGAGATACGAGGTTTTGTTCTGACAGCAGCGAAATGCTTCTTTGAGCCTTAATAGTCAAGAAGCTCCTTTTCCACGGAACATGTCAGCGTTTTTCCTGTCGATTTGACCAGGATTAACATAACCTGAGGTTATTTCTACGGCTCGTTTCATAGAGTAAAAGGCGGAGGACTCTCTACTGACATGGCACATTCAGACAGGACTAAAATCACTGACAAACAGCAACAATGAAATGACCCCACCTCCTCATGGAAAGCTAATCCCGTCTGAATAGAGCTTGGGGCTTATTAATGAGAAACTACATAGAAAACAGTCCAAACTAAGTTACAGAAGTGTGTAGTGTAATACAAGGTAGGACTCACCAGCATCCTGGCCATTTAAGGGGCTAATCCTGGCGCTTCCAAGCAAAATAAAAATTCATACAGAATCAACTGAACTACTCATCTCCAAACATTAAACAATACAGTGTGCTTGAGGCAATCAGATGTATGAGGCAGGGTCTAAACAGCTCTATGCAGCAGAAGACCAATATTTCTGATAGGACTAATCCCATATATACATACATGTTTATAGTTTTAATGTCTATATTATTAGTCTAAATAAAGACAAACCCTTCTCAGAGCAGCTGTGTCCAAATTTGAAACCCTTAATGTAGGTCTGAAAGGGTTCATGTAAACACCAGCTACTCAAAACTGAACAACAGTCCCTATTTTCTATAAGTGATGCATGATATATAGTTTGTTAGTCAGTATCACAATACTGGCCTTTGCAATACTGATATCAAATGCTGCAGTATGCAAATGAGCAATAAATAACAATGCCTTTATTGTGCGCTGTATTTATACGGTTATATCACCGCTATAGCTGAGCTTCTATGCATGTTTTGATAAATAATTTAGGTCAAAGAAATTCAGGCTAATCTTTAATCATGTCATATTACTGATTCACCTTCGAGCTTCACCATAGGCAGCAATATAAACACAGTAAGGTATTTTGTCCGTGTTGTGAAGCTACAATTCTTAATATTTAGAGTTAAAACAAAGGATCCAATCAACGAGGAAAGCATACAGTTCTGGACAAATCAGCGCACTTGGGTGTCTGTGAGAGGTCACGGCGGCGTGACCTTTGAACCCCTGTACTGACCGCAGCTCCAACAGCAACTCGAATTACACAGCAGAGGGAATTCCTCAAGCTTCCACTCGACAAACCGCAGCTGCAGTGAGGTTACAAAACACTACTTAAGCGGCTCACACGAAGAAACCGGACAAAAAAACCATGAAACCAATGACCAGATTGAAGCAACTTCTATTTTTAACACACACTTTTTGGCTTTGTCTGCATTTCTTAGTATTAGAAAGCCAATTATTTTGGCTGATCCAGTTTAAAATGACGGTATATTAAACACTCATGCACACAAAACGCCACTGGACACAACTGTTTTGACGACTATATACCACTACACTATCAAATCACATTCCAGCATTAATCGTCTATACGATTGTGCATTTGCATGATTAAACGTTTGCATGCGGAGGATTACTGCGGCTGACCGCAGCAACAAGACCCTGGACGTCCAACGTTCAATGTTCAACATTCAACATGATGAGTTTCTCCGACCAGCTGGCCGATGCAAAGCCTGTTCAAACTGGGGGAAGCACACAGGAGCGTCCGCACCGCGCACGGAAAAGTGGGTCATCTGGTTGGTCAGAAACGTGAGGCTATGCTACAGTGCCTGACCTACTGGCGATATTCATGCTTAACGGAGTTGTGAAAGAGCTGAAATAAGAGGATAAAAGCTGCAACAGTGCAGGCGGAGAATCAGGGTCACCAGCAATTCAAAGCTGACAACTGAGCAGAACTAATGAAGAGCTGCAACCATCAAAACCAGCATCGGGTCATGGAGAACGATTCCCGGTAAACGGGTTTTAGGACTAGAGGGACTCATGCAAAACCAGTGTTGGATCTAGAGGCCCAAGCAAAGCCAGTGCTGCGTATATTATTGAGTCTAGTGGACCATGCAAAGCTTCTGTTGGGTTTAATGGTGAGTCTAGTGGACCATGCAAAGCTTGAACTGGGTCTAACAAGCCATGCAAAACCCATGTTACATCTACTGACCAATGCAAGGCCAATACTGGGTCTAATGTTACATCTATTGGACCACACAAACCTAGTGTTGGGTCTAATATTGAGTATTGTGGACCATGCAAAGCTTGAACTGGGTCTAACAAGCCATGCATAACCAGCACTGGCTCTACTGACCAATGCAAAGCCATTACTGGGTCTAACATTGAGTCTAGTAAACCACACAAAGCTTGTACTGGGTCTAATGTTGAGTCTAGCGGACCATACAAAGCTGGTGTTGAGTCTAATATTGAGTCTTGTGGACCACACATAGCTTAAATTGGGTCTAACGAGCCATGCATAACCAGCACTGGCTCTACTGACCAATGCAAAGCCATTACTGGGTCTAACATTGAGTCTAGTAAACCACACAAAGCTTGTACTGGGTCTAATGTTGAGTCTAGCGGACCATACAAAGCTGGTGTTGAGTCTAATATTGAGTCTTGTGGACCACACATAGCTTTAATTGGGTCTAAGGAGCCATGCAAAAACAGTGTTGGGTCTACTGACCAATGCAAAGCCAATGCTGGGTCTAACGTTAAGTCCAGTGGACCACATAAAGCTGGTGTTGGGTCTAATGTTGAGTCTTAAGGACCATGCAAAGCTAAAGTTGGGCCTAATGTTGAGTCTAGTGGAGCATACAAAGCAAGTGGTGGATCTAACGAGACATGCAAGACCAGTTTTGGGTCTAAACCACAGTCAAAACCACTATTGGGTCTATTGGTTTATATTAAAACCAGTTTAAGTTCTAATTTGCCATGCAAAACTAGTGTTCGTTCTAACTTGCCATGCAAAACCAGGGTTGGTTCTAATTGGCCATGCAAAACCACGGTTGGTTCTAATTGGCCATGCAAAACCAGGGTTGGTTCTAATTGGCCATGCAAAACCACGGTTGGTTCTAATTGGCCATGCAAAACCAGGGTTGGTTCTAATTGGCCATGCAAAAGCAGGGTAGGTTCTAACTGGCCATGCAAAAGCAGGGTAGGTTCTAACTGGCCATGCAAAACCAGTGCAGGGTTAACTGGGTCATACTAAAACCATCTGCCAGTTGTGAAGACTACTAGTGGGCCTACAGCTGTGGTCAATAATGCTGGTCCTGGAGATCAGATGTGCACAGTTTAGCTTGGAGGTGAAACCTGCAGAAGGTAGATCTCGAAGAGGTCCAGGGGAAGGGTTGGTAACGACTGGTCCAGAAAAAGCCATGGATAAAAGTGTTGGGTCTAATGGGCCTTACAAAGCAAGTGTTGGAGTCATGCAAAGCCAGTGGTGGACATAGCAGGCCATGCTAAACCAGTGCTGGGTTTAATGGGTCATGCAAAACCAGCATTAAAGCTAAGGCTGAGTTTATTGGCTCATACACAGCAGGGGTCTAGGAACTAAAAGCAGGGCTGGGTGTGGTTGTGGATCTAGCCTGAGCCATCCAAATCCAGCCCTGAGCCTAAAGACCCACGCAAAACTAGTGCTAGGTCTAATGTTGGGTTCGGGATCCCACTCAGAACTAATGTTTGGGCCTAGTGACCCCCGCAAAACCTGTACAGGACGCATACAGAATGAACTTGGTCAAGCTATGGGACACTTACAGTGAGCGGAGCTGCTCCAGTGCTGGCTGCTGAAGGGGTGATGACCAGCCCTGGTCTGGCTGTAGTAATCCACCATGAGGAAGGGGCTGGGGCTGGGGCTCGCGCTGAGACCCACCACATCCACGCCCTCGTACATCATGAGCAGCTCAGAGCTTCAGAAAGTAGGCGCAGGAAGAGTTTCTCTCTCTCTCTCTAAGGTCTGGACCTTTCATCCAAGCTGCTGACATCCGAGCTCCATCGTGGAAAAAAAAAGGAAATATGATTCTCCAGAAATTTCCAAAAAAAAGTGAAGGATCTGCTCCAAAGTGGTCACTCCAGGAAGCTGCTTCAGCCCAAAAGACCAAGAAAGCCCCAAAACATCCAAGTGGGCGCTCCAAACTCCCAGAACCCACCACACTTTTTACCAGAACTCACCAGACCTTCTACCAGAGCCCACCACACTTTCTGCAGCCAGGCAGCGGCGCGAGGCAATGCACGGAGAAAGGGAGAGCAATGCACGCGCGCACACACACACACATACACCAAGCACACACCCGCACAGAAGCTCGCGCACTCCGTGTCCTGCAAGACTGGGAGCGCGCTCGGAAAAGAAATCCCCCAAATATGCGTGCAAAAAGGCGCAGAAAGTGCGCGCTCGGTCTCGCGAGCTATCGTCCGACGATGCAAGGGGTTTTTCAGCGCACGCGAGCTGGGAATTTACGGGTTCTGTTCGCATCCGTCCTGTCCTGTCCTGTCCCGTCTCTCTCTCGCGCGCGCGAGCGAGCCTCCGTTCAGCCGGTTAAGGTCTCCCTCTCGTCTCCTCCAGCTTCTTCTCCTCCCTTCATGGTCTCTTCTGCGCTCGCTCTCTCTCTCTCTCTTTGCCTCGCTCTCTCGCGCTCTCTCTCTCTCTCTCTCTCCTCGCGCCCCAAACAACCCAGCCGAGAGCGAGCCAGCTGGGCTCAATCCCCGCCTACATCCGGGTCTTCCCCCTCGACACCCCGCCCACTTTGATTAACCCTTTAACTGGCTCGCGGCAGAAAGTTAAAGGGGAATTCCACCGACTTTTTCAAAATTTCCGCACAATTAAATCATGTAAAGATGTAATACCAATATGACGTTTAGAGACTTTTTCATTTTTTCCTAAAGTTAGTTTGCTTAGATTGTTTTGATCAAGCCTTTTCTTATTTCCTTCCCCATGCCATGAAGAGGAATTCCACCAACTTTTCAAAATTTCTGCAGAATAAAATCATCGAAATGTAAACAAAGTCATTCAGAGTGGTTTGGTGTGAAGCACTCCGTTCTAGAGAAACATATCGAGTCAGAATTATTCACAGTGATCGTGATAGGAACCAGACGTCCAAAGCGTTTAAAGCAGACTCTGCTCCTGAGTTTCACAAAAGCACCAGAAGAAATGAACTCTTAAATTCTAAAATTTTTCCTGGTGCTGGGTGTTTGGTGGACAGCGAGGTGTGGAACGTCAGTGGGGTCCTCGTACCCTTCTGCAGCCCCACAGGCCGCTCCTCCTCTGTCCAAACCTCGTCTGCCCCCTCCTCGCCTTCCTCCCTTCTCTGTCTCGCTCATTTGCCTAATGCCATGCGGCTGAACTCTTTCTGAACCCGTGGGGGCCGGCGGTTCGCCTTTGGGTGACCCGATCTCATCTGATATCATGCGCTAGGCCTTGGCACCTTGTTTGGTGAACGCTAGGCCCCGGCCGGTACCCCAGGGGTCAAAGAGACTCAGACAGGACATCCCTGCCGCTACAACACCTGGGCCAGGGATGAGTGTGAATCACAGAAGCCTAGGCTGAGAACTGCCCACTTAACAGCTCCCAGAAAGTCTTCTAGAGCAATCTAGAGTGGAACTAGCAGTGTTTGTATGAAATATAGGCTATCGAGAGCACAATTAGAGGTATGTATACGTGACACGTGGACTGTTTAAATACATCTAGAGTTAACTTGGCAGTATATTCATAAATTCTAAGCTATCTAGAACAAAAGTAGCAATATAAAGCAATAACGATATATAGAATACATGCCATCTACACCTATCTAGAGCAAAGCTAGTAAGGTGACTGTCTAAAGAAAGCTAATGTAACTTTCATTGTGAAAAGTAAATAAAAAAGAGAGAAATAACGATCAACAAAAAAGAGATACATCGTTTTTTGGACAGCAACAATATGCAACACAGGCCATGTAGAGCAATCTGTAGAAATGCTACGTAGATCTACATACAAAGTAGAACAAATAGAGAACAAAGCTAGAAGATTTTTTAACAAACACTGCTAGAAAAAACAGCACAGACCAGCATGGCTGGTTACCAACAAAACCGACGTATGTTATGTTTTGAATGCAGGCATGCTGGTCAACCAGTATGACCATACTGGATGACCAGCTACACAAGCACCAGATCATCATCCTGGTCTGAGCGGTTTCTTTCAGCAGGGAATATAGGCAAGCTAGAGTTATCTAGAATAAAACCCTCCACTGAATTTATGAAATATAGGCCATCTAGAACTATGTGGAGGACAGCTAGCAGTGCATTAGGCTAATTAGAGCAAAACTAGCAGTGTGTTTAGACTATCTAGCTCAAAGCTAGCAGTGTATAGACTATCTAGCTCAAAGCTAGCAGTGTACAGACTATCTACCTCAAAGCTAGCAATGTATAGACTATCTACCTCAAAGCTAGCAGTGTACAGACTATCTAGCTCAAAGCTAGCAATGTATAGACTATCTAGCTCAAAGCTAGCAGTGTATAGACTATCTAGCTCAAAGCTAGCAGTGCATAGACTATCTAGCTCAAAGCTAGCAGTGCATAGACTATCTACCTCAAAGCTAGCAGTGTATAGACTATCTACCTCAAAGCTAGCAGTGTATAAACCATCTAGCTCAAAGCTAGCAGTGCATAGACCATCTACCTCAAAGCTAGCAGTGCATAGACCATCTACCTCAAAGCTAGCAGTGCATAGACCATCTACCTCAAAGCTAGCAGTGCATAGACTATCTACCTCAAAGCTAGCAGTGTATAAACCATCTAGCTCAAAGCTAGCAGTGTATAGACTATCTAGCTCAAAGCTAGCAGTGTATAGACTATCTAGCTCAAAGCTAGCAGTGCATAGACTATCTAGCTCAAAGCTAGCAGTGCATAGACTATCTAGCTCAAAGCTAGCAGTGTATAGACTATCTAGCTCAAAGCTAGCAGTGTATAGACTATCTACCTCAAAGCTAGCAGTCTATAGACTATCTAGTGGAAAGCTAGTAGTGTATTTGTACACTATTTGCCTCAAAGCTAGCTCTGTTTTTCTAGACTATCCAGCTCAAAGCTAGCAATGTATTTAGCTCAAAAATAGCAGTATTTCAAGGCTATACAGCCCAAAGCTAGCAGTGTTTCTCAGCTACTTAGAGCAAAGCTAGCGGAGTGTCTAGGCTATCTACAGGAAAGCTGCAGGCAGCTGGTGCTGGTGGGTTAATGGAAGTGTCTGTAAGGCTGAGCCAGACGGCCTGTTTAATTATAGAGTGCGCTGCTGGGTCTGGTTATGGTCTAAGATATCAGAGAAGGGGGATACGGACAGCAGGCCGCTACCGGTGATGACAGAGGAGCAATGAGATGATTCAGAATGTTCCAAATAATCCAGCAGCGTTGATTTCAGGTTTCTCCTCACTGGAGTGATGCCAGTGGTGATGCTGAGTTTAGGCAGACAAATCCACTGTAAGTGTGTGTGTGTGTTCATACAGTGCCCAGTGTGTTTACACTCTGATAAGAGAAGCTCCTCACAGATAGCAGAGCTCACATTCCTCAGCTGGATTATCACCTATGAGGCTCTATCTCCTTTCTTCTCACTGATATATCTGTCTCTCTTTCTTCTCCGTGGGTGTGTGTGCTGATGCATTACTATGGACTCCAGATTGTCTGTGGGTGTGTTTTAGAGCCTGATTCATGAAATCTTTCCAAAGAAAAAGCCGACAAATACTAAGAAGTTTGCTGGAATGTAATTAAAAGGCATTTCTTGTGAAGCAAATGTGCCGTTATAAAACATTCTCAGTTATCTGTCTCGTAGTTTATTGATTACAGCCTCATCAGACAACACAAAACATATTTTAAAGGCTTTTGCTTACTGGCTATTTTGGTTTAATCTGCTGAGATTAACATGGTTTGCCGTTCATATGAATGGCATAGTTTAGACTTTAAACTAAGGCCCAGTAGGCCAGCAGTTCTGATGCCTGAAGCGCCAGAATGTAACTGCTGCTCCATTTAAGGTGGAACGAGAAAATCAGAACAAGAAGCTGATGAATATCTGACTTCAGCTTCATATCACTGAAGAATTAGGGGTGGGTGATAATAAATAATTGCCCCCCTCTTTGAAGGCTTATGATGCCCTAAATGTAACTAAAGCCCAGCAGTGAGGAGCTGAACTTTACCCTCCTCTGCTGTCACTGCAGACTGGCAGGGTCGCCTACAGAGCAGCGCTGGTAGCTGTTAATGAAGTGATGCTCTTTTTATTTGAGGGTCCCATTTCAGAGGGAAGATTTCAACCATTGCAACTTATTACTCATTTCCAGGGGCAACATGACCCTCAAAAACAAGAGGTAGGGCTGAAAATAAGAAATGGGACTGGGCCTAAGACTGTATGTGTGTATTTACCCCAAAAGTTTCCCACCGCCTTCAACTTCGCCTCTTAATTAGACCACCATTCACAAATGGCTTATTACATAAGACCACCACAACACACTGGGAACGGCACCACCGCCAACACACACACTCTCTCTCCTCATGCCAGGAGATGGTACGACGGGTGATAAAAGGGAAAAAAAGGAAGAGAGGAGAGGATTCAAAGGCTCTTTATGGGTGTAATTGTGGATGGAGGCTCTGAGCGTGTGAAGCTATTTTTACAGCCCGCTCTAAAAGGACGGCCGTAAAGAGAAAGCTGAGGTTTTAACGCTGACCAACAGGACGCAGAGGGTCATAACTGGCCGTAAGCCCCCTATTCACCATCAGGTACCTTTTATTTCACACTTACGGCCTGGGGACAGCAGGGAGAGGCTTGGAGGAGCAGAGGAAACCTGCTCGTTTTAAAAAGGAAACAATAGAAATCAGTAAAAAAAGAATCTAAAAAATCTGGAAAATGTACACTGCCCCCCCCCGCCCCTCCCCACATCTAATCAATCAAACAGTGTGGAGCTGTTCAGTGATCTCAAACAGACTTGCTAATGTGGTTTTTGACACCGTGTGACACACAATTAATTCATTTCATATTCAGAACGCCTAGTGCATTATATAATACAATATCTTACATTTTTAATAACTTATTTTCACTTATTTTACTTTATACATGCACATGTTGAACTGAGTAGCAGCAGCAGTCAGTATAAGAGAGTAAAAAAAGGGAGTGACAAAAAAAGAGAGAGACACACATGAAGGCATAGAGAGAGAGGTATGGAGAGAGACAGAGAGACAGATTAAGACAGAGAAAAAGAAAGAGAGGGGTACAGAAAGAGAGAGAGAGAGAGAGAGAGAGAGAGGATAGACTGTTGCTCTTTTCGTTTGCCAGTGTACATCTTCATTAGTCTCTCTGATCTGTGATGCAGATGCCGCTCATTTACTATATCCTACTCCTCCTCCTCCTCCTCCTCCTCTCTCTCTCTCTCTCTCTCTCTCTCTCTCTCCTCCTTTTCTCTCTCCCTCACTCTCACTCTCTCTTTTAAAACAAAAACACGACCCTCGTGATTTCTAGCCAGGGTCAACAAGGACACCGAAGGAAAACATTCTCTCTCTCTCTCTGTTTCTCTCTCTCCCTCTCTCTCTCTCTCTGGCTCTCTTATTCTCTCTCTCTGTCTCTCTTATTCTCTCTCTGTTTTTCTGACTCTCTCTCTCTCTCTCTCTCTCTGAGGGGATTAGTCCATTGTGAGTG